ATGACTATTTAAGCTATAGTTTCACAACATTTGTAAATGTAAAAATGAACATGAGCTAATATGTGAGCTGAAGTTTAATGACATTTGTAAGCATGTTAATTTACATTGAATAATGATCTGTTAATCATTTGGTAATGTTTAATAAAATCATTAGTTAACATTAACAAGCACATTATCTCATATTTTTAGATATGTGAATATACAGTGGGTACGGAAAGTATTCAGACCCCCTTAAATTTTTCACTCTTTGTTATATTGCAGCCATTTGCTAAAATCATTTAAGTTAATTTTTTTTCCTCATTAATGTACACACAGCACCCCATATTGACAGAAAAACACAGAATTGTTGACATCTTTGCAGATTTATTAAAAAAGAGTGCTGTGTGTACATTAATGAGGAAAAAAAATTTACTTAAATGATTTTAGCAAATGGCTGCAATATAACAAAGAGTGAAAAATTTAAGGGGGTCTGAATACTTTCCGTACCCACTGTATATGAAGTAATGATTAGTTAAACATTATATAATGTTTGTTAACCAGCTGGACCCACACTAACACTGAGACCAACCCGTGGTGGAGAGTGGATCTACTGAAGGTATACAGAGTGAACAGGGTCACCATCACTAATAGACCGGGCAATGGCTTGAGGATTAACGGGGCGGTGATTCGTATCGGAAACTTCCTTGACATTTACAACAATAGAATGTGAGGATATTTCTTTGACTGTCTTGGTTAATATGACTGCAGATTAACAGAAAATCATAACAGATGATATTTCTGTCTGTAGATGTGCTGTAATTTCCACTCTTGCAGACGGTGCCACGGCCACGTTCTCATGCGGTGGGATGGAGGGACGTTATATGATTGTTCATATTCCTGGAGATCAGAAGATTCTTAGTCTTAGTGAAGCTGGAGTCTACGGGTATTTGGCAGGTAATTCAAAAAAATGTCTAGTAAAGACATAGTTAATTCTAAACAGTCATGCTTTATTCATGCTCATATCCTTCCAAATTAGCAAGTCATCATACATTAAAATACATCAGTACTAATCCCTTTCGTTGTACTGATTATGCTGTACCATGTATATGTGATGTTTAAAAACCTTGACTTTTGTGATGTCAAGTGATGCGTTGATCAAGCCAAACATAAAGAAATAAACTCATCTACTTACTAGTCGCTTTCACAGTTTATAATCAAGCTCTTGCAACTATTCTAACTCAACCTTTCAGGGAACATGTTTAAAGGGTTAGTGCACCCCAAAATAAAGATGCTGTCAGGTTGAAAGAATGTGAGACATCGAGCACAAATGTGAAGGATTACTGCAGATATGACAGTATTTTTATATCCTTTCTCTCTGTCTGTAGATGTACTGTTATTCCTGCTATTCCAGCAGGTGAGTCCTACAGCTACTCGTGTGGTGGGATGGATGGACGTTACGTGAATCTGATCATTCCTGGAGACATGAAGATACTCACTCTCTGTGAGGTGGAGGTCTATGGAGAAGGTGTAACAATTTGTTTTGTCAACAAAACAGTGAGGAGCACTTCTACATTTTTACTGAAAGCAACCTCTACTAATTCATAATACATGCACCACTGTATCTTTGTTTAGGTCCAGTTTTAAAAAGATCTTTTGTAAAGATGCAGTTTAAGTCCAGAGTTGATTTAACTGACCCTTCCGTGAGAGAAAACATTCTGAAACAGGTGAGAGTAAGAAACAAATTCAACTGCCATGATTACTGTAAAACACCAGCAGCTCTCATCTGGTTTCCCTCTTTTTAAAAACCGACCTCATAGTCCTGAAATTGATTGAAATTCAATGAAACCTTTAAATGTCTTTGTGGACATTTTAAGGCTTGCTGTGATTTATTTGTTATTGCATTTTGGAGATTTACATGAAACCTGAATTGTTACTGAAGATTTCAGTGATTGTATTTAAAATCTAGTTTTTTTCAGAAAATTCACCAAATACGTTTACTAATGAGTTGATTTTCCGTGAGAGAAAACATTCTGAAACAGGTGAGAGTAAGAAACAAATGCAACTGCCATGATTACTGTAAAACACCAGCAGCTCTCATCTGGTTTCCCTCTTTTTAAAAACCGACCTCATAGTCCTGAAATTGATTGAAATTCAATGAAACCTTTAAATGTCTTTGTGGACATTTTAAGGCTTGCTGTGATTTATTTGTTATTGCATTTTGGAGATTTACATGAAACCTGAATTGTTACTGAAGATTTCAGTGATTATATTTAAAATCTAGTTTTTTTCAGAAAATTCACCAAATACGTTTACTAATGAGTTGATATTGCTTCAGAGCTGCTTCATGCTGAATTGTTTTAATCAGGGTTTACAGTGGTATGATAAAAGTTTCTTTGAGACATGAAGATTTGAGCATACTGTCATATCTAATCAGTTTAGTATGAATATGTTATTTTCAGTTGGGATCTGCTCTGGTTGACAGAGGATTCACAAACGTGACTCTACGGTGGTCTCAGACCCCTAAACGGGTGATCCAGAAGGTGACTGCTGGTAAAAGTGAGTCTGTTCTCACAACTGTACAATAACACATGAAATAAGCTGCACAATTAGGAATGATTCTAAATTTGTTTTGAGATGTAATAGGCAAATATTTTATTTACAGGTCGTTGTGGCAATGGAAGATAACACACTGGACATCAACACTTTGTCTTTATTTCACAAACTTTACATTTGTTAAAGACATTAATTCTGATTCTAAATGCATTGGCTGAAATTTCTTTATAATTATGCTTACAATGAAAAGATTTAATTCACTTCTGCTTACTTCCTTTTAGTGCTTATTCACATATTTAAGAATTATAAAGCATCTTGTGTAAATGTGTATTGTAAACAAATAGAGATAGTAATAAATATAATGAAAATAATCAAAGAAATGTTAAATGTACATTCACACAACCCATGAGTGTAATTTTAATGTCAGTTTTATGTTTTTTTTTTATTTATTTATTTACTATTCTTCCTGACATTTCATGTTGTTGGAACTGTATTGAGGTGAACAGAATCTCACGTGAATGGAAAGAGTACAGCGCAAGCGTTCTCACTGTTGTCCAATGACTTGCCTAATAAACCTAACTTGCCTAATTAACCTAATTATTCCTCTATGCCTTTAAATTGCACTTTATGCTAAGGATTATTATTTTACAAAACAACTAGTAAAATAATATGTACTGTACTGTCAACATGGCAAAGACAAAATAAATTAGTTTAGACTTGAGAAAAATAATTATTAATGGTCACAAAGGAGGAGAAGGATATACACATTTATCAAAACATTGGAAAGAAAACTAGTGAGAGAGGTAGGGCTGCCTTCGACTAAAGATTTTTCTGGTCGACTAATAGTCGTTCATTTTAAGCATTAGTCACACGTTTACTAATTAACCATTTAAATCATGCTAATAAGCCTTTAATTGCCTACATAGCCTAACAAGCGCATGCATAAAGCTTGCCACAGCACACCGGCAGACGTAATGATGATGAATGTGTCAGGGAAAAACAGTAAGATTAAACTGCATTAACATTTTAATAATCTATTGATAAACTAGAGATTTAGGCTTAAGAGAAGAATTTGGCGACACTGAATCATCATCTCCACAGTAGTGGATGCGCCTGCATGCAAGTTTCGGTAACACTTTATTTTAGGGTCTCTTAACTAGTTGCTTATTAGCATGCATATTACTAGAATATTAGCCATTTATTAGTAGTAATTAAGCACATATTAATGCCTTATTCTACATAACTTTATTCTACATCCTTAATCCTAACCAATACCTAAACTTAACAACTACCTTACTAACTATTAATAAGCAGCTAATTAAGAATTTATTGAGGGAAAAGTTGTAGTTAATAGTGAATAAGTGTTCCCTATTCTAAAGTGTTACCCAAGTTTCACATGGATTACATAATCTGAGAAATATTTTTTTTTTCAATTGAAAGTAGCCATTTCACTCTCTATAGATATATTTTTCATGTCTGTATAAGGCAATTATACACGGAGTTTCGCGCTCAAGTTCACAGAGGCCGAGACGGCAGAAAGCGCATCCTGTTTGCTTTCATTATTTTTAAAAAGCGCAATGTATTGTTGTTATAGTGAGTGCACACAAATAAACGTACAGGCTTTACAGATTCGAAAGATGTATTACTCTTATTCATATGACCAAAATGACAAAATTAGTATTTTAAGAGCAAGTGACCGCACCGGCGCCTCCATCTATCATGCTGTGAGCGCGCTACTCTTCCGCTTTCACACTCCGCACAGACACTTGAATAGCGCACATTTTTCTAGGTTAACATTCGATTGAGTGGCCTTGTAAAGTTGCTACTACTTACATATTTCAGATGATAAGCCATATTTGCGGTCGATGAATGATAGAAGAGCGTTTTGATGTACTGTATTACCACAAAATCCAGCCGTTAACGATCTGTCCGTCACAGACTGCGCGACCTCACCACTTCATGTGGACTTTTTTTTTCTTTTCTGTGACTAAGCGACTAATAAAATTTTGGTCGACCAAGCCTCTTCTCGACTATTAGGGGGCAGCCCTAGAGAGAGGTTTCTAAAGACCCAAGAACAACTGCCAAGATACTAGTGATTGATTTAGCCAAGTCTGGGATTGATGTCTCAACGGAGACGGTCACTAGAGCCCTGCACAGGAATGGACTGCGAGGTTGCCGACGCCACTTCTGAAGAAGAGACACCTCCAAGCTAGACTGAAGTTTGCCAAGAAAACAGTACAAATGACTCTCTAATTATGAGTAAATATGATGCCCTTGTGACCCCTCACAAAATTAAATTGACAGATGAATGTCTCATAATTTTGCAGTTACTAAATGACACAAAGTACATGATAAAAGAGTTTGTAAAAGCAGTCCTGACCAATAAGCAAACACACCCACAGAATAGTACATCAACAGGAAACACACATGCGTTTGTAATCTTGAAATCTAAGTGTTTCCTTTCACGCTTAATATCTGCTGCAGATGAAGTTGAGTTTGTCAGTTTCAGGACGGCTGATCCAGCGCTGATCTCCTCCAGACTGAACTGCTCCAGATCTCACTGTGTGTTCACAGTCCTCCTCTGATGTGCCGTTCCCTGGAGCCCAGTTCTGATAGCACGCGGTCTCTCCACTCACCCAGAACCAGACGCCCAAAATGTGAGAGTAACGTAAACCCAACCACACCGCCGCAGTAGACGCCCGTTTAACCACGTTCATCACACGACGCTGAATCTCTTCTGAATGAACCGAGACCAGATCCACATGATTCTGTCTGCAGTATCTCAGAGCTTCAGACCACGTCAGATTCTCTCTGATCACAATCAGTTTATCTGGAAACCAAACAAACCACAAGCAGAAACTAGAGAGAGACTGATCAAAAACAACATGCAGAACAAACACTGCATGAATTTGTCATGTCAGACGTGTAGCGGGAACTTTAAGAGATCTGGAGGTGATGGATGGATTGTGTGTGTTTTGTGAGGATCTACTCACCTTCATGACAAACAAAAGGAAAACGGCTGTTACAAGAGATGTCATGCCATTGTTTCTGAGCTTTTGATTCAATTACTGCACATTTTTCATTACCTCCAGCATTATTAGGTTCACCAGATTTCCAGTATCTGAATGAGGAGTTACTCTGATCTGACCACTGCCATGAGTCTCTGAACAGACCGATCCAGACTTGTGATCCAGATTTATTATTATCACTAATGATCTTCTTAACCTTCTCATTCTCATTCTGGTTTCTCACACTGACCAGATCAATGTGATTCTGTCTGCAGTAACTCTGAGCCTCTCTCCAGTTCATCCTCTGATTGATAAAGACGAGTCCTGTGTTTTCTTTCAGGATAAACAAAAGCAATGCTTAAGTATCTCTCAAACTCTTACACTGTAAATAAACCCTACAATGGCAATGTGTAGTTTTATTGTAGTTTTATAGACACATGCTCTGTAAATACAGATAAACGTCTAGGTCCCATTCGTTATGTTATGTGATACAAAAAGCAAAATGCTGTGATACAGTTTTGAAAAAAGAAACACAGAACAGAAAAGACCATTTTAAGTTTAAAAGTTAAAGAACATTTTCTCTGCACCTATTAATAACTCTGGTATTAGAAACTTAAGTGTCTTAAGTTGTCCAAATCTTAAGGCTTTTTCTTCTCCGTTATACAGAATAAGAAAGAACAGCTGTTATAGTGAACTCTGTGTAGGACATTGTCGTTATTCAAAATTCAGGTATATTATTCATTTTATATTGACACTGACATTTTTAAAATGTATTTCCGGATAGATATTATTGAGTTAACAGGCTGTGGTGGTTTTGAGGTAGTGAGGGATCGTCCCGGATGAGGTTGTCAGGTCATCATGTGGGTAATTTTATTTGCGGCTAAAGTATTATTCATTAATTTGTACTAATAGTTAGATAGGGCAGGCCTTTAAAGGGCCTTTAATTACAAAAAATAAAAAATAAAGAAATTTTGCCTCAACATCAAGGGGCAAAGTGGCAGGTGCTCAAGCACAAACTTTTATTCTGGATGCGATTAGCTTCTTTATAGCAGAAAGTCAAATTGTAAATCTAACTGATTTATACATTAGTTTTAGAGATATTTGTTTTCAAGATACAATATTATTAATCACATATACTGTAATAACCATAATAATAGGGTATAAACAGTATCTATATTTTTACATTAATAGGTCATATTCCATATTAGTATAATAATAGTGGTTACAAAACATGCAATAATAAAACTATGCATAAGGGTATATTGGTATTTCCATAATTATGTCAATAATAATGACAATGTTAATAATACTACTACCACCATCGTCTTTACCAGCTGTAATAATAGGCTAATTGTGTTGATAATGAAGCATAAATAATATTTACATTAATGCCCAAATGATTTCAAGCTAAAGATTTGTTAAAACTTGTAAGAAATGTTTTCAGTGGATTAAAAATAAATTAAGATATCAAGTATGATTAAACCTGTTACAGAAGGTATTTCCTCACTCAGATCTTTAGCGCTTTTAGTTTGTTTTCATTGTGCCGCTACATTGTTATGATTATGATTATTACTATGAGATCTTAAAGGGGTCATATGATGCGATTTCAAGTTTTCCTTTCTCTTTGGAGTGTTACAAGCTCTTGGTGCATAAAGAAGATCTGTAAAGTTGCAAAGACTAAAGTCTCAAATCCAAAGAGATATTCTTTATAAAAGTTAAGAGTCAACCACGCCTACCTAAAACGGCTCGTTCTAACACGCCCCCACACTGTAAACCCGAACAGTACTACTAACTTATAAAGATTAAGAACACTGCAATTAAAGTCTGTTAAATCGTTGATGCAACTTATAACAATTGCATTTTCTGAACGAGGAACTTTGTAAAAATCGAGGCGTTTCAGAAAGGCGGGGCATAAAGGAGAAACAATAATGTACAGTATGTGGAAAATAATGTGTTTTTTTAACCTTAAACCGCACAAACACATTTAATTACACCAAATACACAAAATAATGTTATTTTTAGCAGCATCATATCCCCTTTAAGACTTGAGCTGGTAGACTATAATTAGATCTCGCTCTTTCTGTTTATTTTTTAACGATAGGTTTGTCAGATATAACTGCCACAGCATTACAATGTAGATTTGACTTGGTAAATATTAAGTTTTCATGTTTTTTCAATTTACAGTAATTTATAGTGTTTACTACTGTCACGTTTAAATTTTTAATATGAAGCATTTTTTGATAAATTAATATTTATTACATTAGGTGTTTGTACTCACTGTCGTTGCAGATGAAATACCATTTTTGACTACATTTCCCATCATGCCATTCTCCATTTTTCATAAAAGCGCACTCATCTCTGCCATCAGGTTGTTTATATCCCCAGTTCAGATAGAGCACAGGTTCACCTGAAGACCACTGCCATTTATCACGACCCGTCTTCTGCAGCCCAATCCAGATATACTGAACACCTCCACCATTCACACTCTTCTTCAGCTCGTTCATGTCGTTCATGTTGTCAACTGTGGCCAGATCTGTGTAATTCTCTCTGCAGTATCTCTGAGCTTCAGTCCAGGTCTTGTTCTCATTTATAAAGTGATACTGACGCTGAACACATTCAGATACGGAGCAGAGAGCTGTGAAAGAGAGGCTTTGCTTTAATGCTTTTCATAACAGGATCAAACCTAATGAAACTAGAAACCATAAATAAAACCACAAACACTCACCAATGAGAAGAAGAATGAAATATAGAGTTTGCTCCATTTCTGAGGAAGAAAAATATAGATAAATTCAGATTTTATATATTTGCAGGTTGATTTTGGTGTAAAACGTGATTTCAGTGATAATAAACAGGCACTAAATCCACTAAATACATTAATTCAGATAATATTAACATGTCTAAAGTCTAATTATAGTTAAAGAATGAACATGTGAGTTGTTCTTACTTTAGAGGTTGTGTGTTTCTGTTCTGAGTCTGATGTTTCTGTCTGCAGCTTCAAACTATGTGATTATTAGATCTGCTCTCATTCGTCACTCAGCACGTCACTTCATTTGTTTATTACTCTAAAACAAAAGCCCTTTTCATTTTTCTTCCTCTTTCACATGTTTTTCCCATTTTATTTTATTTAATTTCATTTTATGTTATATTATTTGTGTGTGTGTATGTGTGTGTGTGTATGTGTGTGAGTATGTGTATGTGTATGTGTGTGTGTGTGTGTGCGTGTGCGTGCGTGTGTGTGTGTGTGTGTGTGTGTGAGTGTTATTCTTTGTTGCTGTAATTCCGTGGAAGTGTGTTAATTTGAATGTGATGGAGACAGAGAGTCTGCATGTTCTGTAATGAAGTATTGTATTTCCACAGCGGCTTCACAGGAAAAATCCACCTCAACATTTGCATTTTCTTCTCTTACTGTTTGTATTCCATGGAAACCAACAGCATGTTTCTGCATTCCAAACTAAACAATATTTTCACAAAATTTGAACATATTCTGTGTCACCATTAGCACCGTATCTGTTGCGTCCTCAGCGCTATCACACAGAGTTATGAAAACATGCAAATAAAATACAGCAGCAACAGCACACTCAACTCTTTATTTATGGAAATCATATGCACAGAGAACGTCCACATTATTTCACTATGTATGCAGGTGACGTTGCCCCCTCTTCATATAATGTCAACTTATATAACAGTAAATTTCATTCACTGGCGTTACAAAACATGCTCCCATCTGATTTAAATGCTACTTTAACCTCTTTCTCAATTTTTATTTTATTTTTTTATTTTTTTTGCTGATCAGTATGCATAAGAGAAAAAAAAACATGTTCAAACCACGTGAAAATGTTTCTTTTTAATAGTAAAACTCATGTTCATGTAAATGCTATTTTTACACTGCAATACAGAAGCTTCATAAGATAGCACAAAAGGTGCATAAATAGGCTACACATGAGTTACAAGAGCAGGAAATTAATTTAAATACAGAAAGATTAAATTAATGAAATGTGAAATGAAATGAAATGAAATATACATGTCACAACAACAGCTGAGCAGCAGGGGGTGCTCATCCTCTGGTCTGTGTGGGTCCTAATGTCCCAGTATAATGATGGCGACACTATAGAGTAAGGGTGTAACCCTGGTGTCCTGGCCAAATTCCCTTCATTGGCCCTTGTCAATCATGTCCAGTCAAGTCACCTTTATTGTATATAGCGCTTTATGCAATACAGAATGTGTCAGAGCAGCTTTACAGAGTCAAACAGGAAAATAGTGTATAATAGTGTAAAATAATGCAAGAGTACAATAGTAATCAGTCAATGTTTCAGTTAAAGTCAGTTCATCGTTGATTCAGTGATGTCATCATCCAGCTCAGTTCAGTTCTCTTCGAATAGTGTCTGTGCAGTCAAGTCAACAATATTGCTAGAAATGAAGTGTCCCCAACTAAGCAGTGGCAAGGTACAAAAACTCAATTGTGACAGAATTGGAGAAAAAAATCTTGGGAGAAACCTGACTCAGACAGGGGGCCAGTTCTCCTCTGGCCAGACAAAACCAGCTTAGTGTGGTTTAATTCCAGGCTGCCAATATTCATGGCCTCCTAATAATACCCATCCACTGAACTGGCTCTATCACTCTTGCTCCTCTCTACGCACTGGCACTGTTGTACTGTGGCTGCTGTCGCATCATCCAACTGGATGCTGCACACTGGTGGTGGGTGATTAGAGACCCCTCATATCACTGATACACCCAAAGTGTTATGCTTCATTCAAATATTAATGATTCGTAGATGTTTTATCATACAAAAAGCACACATGGATCAAACATTTGGCACTCTGCCTTTCCTCGGTGAATTATTTAAAGGGGACCTACAGATGCATCTCAATAAATTAGAATGTCGTGGAAAAGTTCATTTATTTCAGTAATTCAACTCAAATTGTGAAACTCGTGTATTAAATAAATTCAATGCACACAGACTGAAGTAGTTTAAGTCTTTGGTTCTTTTAATTGTGATGATTTTGGCTCACATTTAACAAAAACCCACCAATTAACTATCTCAACAAATTAGAATACTTCAGAAGACCAATAAAAAAAACATTTTTAGAAATTGAACTTTTCCATGACATTCTAATTTATTGACATGCACCTGTATTAAGCAAAAATCACATTTGAACACAGTTGTGTGTCCGCAGTGTGTGAAAACAACCAGCCTATAATAGTAAAAATCCACCCACTCGTTTTTTTTTAAATCCCAATAAATCATAAACAGTCTCTCCAAACGAGTGGTTCCAGATTTCTCCCTATTATGACATCATACTCAGGAAAGTCCCGCCCATTTGTAAACAACCAGCCTATAATGGTAAAAATCCACCCATTAATTTTTTATTTATTTTTATAATCCCAATAAATCACAAACAGTCTCTCCAAACGAGTGGTTCCAGATTTCTCCCTACATTGACGCCATTGTAGGGAAAAAGTTCCGCCAATTTGTGATGCTCTCTGCCCTATTAGCATAGACCCTGCCCTGAGTGAGAAGAAGCAGTCCGCCATTACTGTTTTCTTGCTGTAGCTGCTGGAGACACAATGTCAGCGCAAAAGAGGCATTACAAGTGTCGTGTGATGGGATGCACCAACAAACATAGGAGTCTCCATAAGCCGCTGAGAACACGGTGGTTACATTTCATTTTCAAGGGAAAAAAACAGTCCTATATGTTTGTGCTAATCATTTTACGCCGGACTACCTCACAGTTCAGTTCAGCGCTGGAGTTTGCAAAGGTTGCTTATGAAAGAGGGATCGATACCAATGCTTCGTGTGCGAACGTCAGCTCCAGAAAAAGCAAGTATCACGCGTCATATTTTGTTTTCCAAATTGCCTTTCTGAAAGAGCTTCATGGCACTCTTTAAGGCTAATGTTGCTAAAGCTACCATTTTCTCTGCCTGTTTTCCCTGATGCTGCCGTCACGTGCTACCAGGATGATTGTAAATAGGAATGTATACGAAAGCAATGTTAAGTCGACCGCTTGAATTTTTCGAGCTCAAAATCACAAGTGGGACTTATGAAGTTTGTGATAGCACGCGAAGGCATCTTGAGACCAGCTATGTTTTTATTTTTATCGCCTGTCTGTGTAATTCATAAATGTGCAGATTGTCCTGTGTTGTTGTTGCCTGTATGCTGGTGTTCTGACGATTTGTACTACCCTGTAAGATTTTGCTACCTCCTATTGAAACAGTAGGTAGCACAATGCGACAACAAAAAATGCTACCCATCAGATTATGCTTTATTAACGCGTACACCTACCCCAACCCTAAACCTACCCTTACAGTAATGCAAATACAGTAATTATGTGTTATTCAGCATAAGAAAATTGACACAATATTGATGTGCACATGCGCAGTAAGCTCTGGTAGGACAATATGACGGGTAGCATGAAATGTCAGGACACCGGAGCATGACCTCTTGAAGCCCCGCCCTCATCTGAAAAGGGAGGCGGGAACAGCAGCTAATTTGCGTTTAAAGGGACAAACACTGTGGGGGTATTTTGAGCTAAAACTTAACATTCACACGTGACTTCCTGTTTGTTGCTGTCACGTGTTTTAAGTTTGAGCTCTGTCAAGTTAATTTGTTATCATCTATTTTTTATCTTAAAATCAATTTTATACACCATCATTTCCATTTCTATGACGTGAGAATATATCCCCTATCGTATTCTACAACAAAAACAATCAGATCGCCTTGTTATCACAAGTTTTATTTTGATTTCCCGAGTCCGCTATTAGCTTATAACCCATTAGCATTGCCAGTGTGGTTACCGCTAATCTCGCTTACATTGCTAATACTCTATTCACACACATTACCATAGTTTTACTCACTGTTACTTGCATTAATGGCGGATGTGTGTCTACCTTTGAGTGCAAGTGAGGACACGTTCGA